AAAAAATGTTCAGACTTTTGAGTCACTAGTAATCTTACTTCTGCAGCTACATTTTTGAGAATAATTCAAAGTGGGAAATAGGTGAGGCAAAGACATTCATTTTTTCCCCTAGTGTGTCCACTGGCCCAATGTGCACCATTGGGGAAAGTCAAATGGAAAATGGTATGCTGGTGATGGAATACTATGCAGTCATCTAAAGTATTTGAGAAAATTTCCTTAAGCAATCCTCCACCCTGTAAATCTGCATGCTTCCCATTTCCCCTGGGAAACATTCCCATGATGCTCTTGTCTGTGGGTGGGCTCCTCTCCAATAGGGTGCACCTCCCATTAACTGTGGAGTTGCAGGGTTTTTTTCCCCCATGTGCTGGCTCTGTTCCCAAGCATGGTTATACCACAGGGACTTGTTGCTGTAACTGCTTGATTTAATTACATGCCATGCAAACCCATGAAGGCTGACTGCTAAAAGAGAAGAGAGTGGTCGTCTCTAGAAAAATTAATGTCAATGCTTTGGGAAGACTTGAGGTAAGGCTCTCACATAGTCAAATTACAGGCCAGCAACATCATTCCAAAAGATCAGACAAGAATCATAAAATTTTCAGGCGATGATGTTGAGATTGCTTGCAAGTACCTTTCAGTCCCTGGTAGATCTGACAGAAAATGGGGAAAATCTGACTTTATTAACAGGATGAGATGATGCCGGAATGGGAGTGATCTATCCACAATGGACAGAGAAATACCTTGTGACAGACCCACCCCAAGGACAGCCTTTTGACTGACAACACCAACAGGCTATGCACTTGAGCAACAGTTAAAGCAGTTACTGTGTGTGTAATATTCTTCCCTCTCCCTCTGACGGTCGAGCTCAGTGACTCACTTGCAGTTCCAGCCATACTGACAACAGGATGGACAACAAGTGTGGATCTGATCTTGAGTGTCCCAGTTCCCTATGGTCCCCAGGAACTCCACCCAGCTCCTGACAGAGCAGCTGGAGGCACCTCAGATTGTCAGCGATAAAGGTTGAAGAATAAACCATGTAGAAAAGCCAAGAGAGAAAAATGCTTCCTTAAAAAAGACTAAGGAAAGAAAGTAGGAAGGTGTTTACACATAGATCTAATAGTGAGATCTCCTTAGATGTACAGTCAAGTGGGCAAAGCCAGATGGAAGGGTCATGTAGAATAGATGCTAGGAAGTCCCAGGCATGCTTACATTGTCCCTTAAACATTGGCACTTCCTTAACAGATTTAAAACAATTAAAAAAAGAGAGAAAGCCATTTTTGTTTGCACTTGACATATAAAATCAGACATGAACCATAGCTGGGATGGCTCAGTTCTTAGAGTGCATGACAAGCCCTGGGTTTGTCCCCAACACCACATAAACTGGGTATGGTTGCACACACCTGTAATCTCAGCACTGGGGAGAGGGAGACTGAAAATTTAAGGTTCTCTTCTCTAGGTAGTGCATCTGGGACTAGCCTGGACTGTATGAGATATTGTCTTTGAAAGAAAAGGACAAAATGGAAGAGAAGGAGAAGAGGAATTTCTTTTTCCAAGTTTTCTCATGCATGGACTACCTCTAACAGTCCATTTGTCTATCTCAAACGAGGTGTAAGGTACTGAGTTGGAGCTTGTACTAGGAACTATTTGGTGCCTTCACCCATGAGGATACTTATTTTAAAGTCTAAAGTTAACCACCCTGTCATTTAACATTTACTTAGTTTTAAAAGAAAAAAAGTTCAAAAAATACAATTTACATTCCCAAGAGACTCATGCGCACCATCTAATTAAATCATTCAATCAGAAAACAAATTAAAATGAAATATCACTGTTGTCCCCAAGAGGAAAATCAACTTTTCAGTCATGGCTAAAACAGACCTCTAGGGTACTGCTCCAAAGCCTCTTCTAATTGCAAGTCCTCAGAACATCCCGCTGAACACCCGGTGACATTTGCAGCTTCCTGGATAGCTCTCCTTCCAAAGAGAAGAGGCGCTCAGCTTGTCCTTTGGAAACTGGCAAAGCTCATACTCATGACTAACTAGGGTGCTGGGTACCAATGCAGAGCGGCCACTCATTCATCTCATGTCTCTTTTCCACCTGCCAGAAACTGCCCATAGAGTCATCAAACATTCTCTAAGGGAATGTGACCTCTGCCTTCATCAGGAAACAAAACAAAAAAGCCAGATGGGCCTTAGTATCTCAATGGAAAGCATATCCATGTGGGAACAACTGACCAGTTCTCCAAGATCCTCAGATGCCTTTCACTAGAATACAGCCAATCTTACAGCTGTCAACTAATACCAGTACAGCACTCTTTCCCTGGGACCCTCTGGTCCTCTTAGCAGACAGTGTATTATACACTTAAGAACACAGACTGACTCCCTCCTAGCCTACAGAACTAATAGCCAAAATAAACACTAAAAATAATCTGGATGCAATGTTACCCATCTGTGATGCCAGCTGAGGTGGGAGGGTCTCAAGTTCAAAGTCAACCCTACACAGCTACAGTAAGATCTTGTCTCATAGCAAGACAAACCAGAGACCCTGAAGCTCTCTAGGTTAAAACCTCTGTTTTACTGTGTAACAGAGTGTGTTGGACCAGTGGGTCAAGAAGCCTCTCCAAATCTCAGTGTCCACATCTGTAAGATGGAGTTAAAACCACCAACTTCACAAGGCAGGAAGGGTCAGTCAACTTACGAAAAGCTCTGAGACTAGGGCACAGCATTTAACAGACACCATACAGTTCTTAGCTCTTCTCCTTACCAGCCCCACCATCCTGAGCTACTCAATGTATTATGGATTATTCAAAAGACTCTCCTGACGCAAGAGACTTAGATAGTAGATCTATGGAAACATCCCATGTCCTCAAGGGCCCGATCTCATAGACTTTACAAGTCTCTCACATTTAAGCCCTAAACCCAAGTGCAGGGATGGTTCTAGAGCACTGGAGGGGGTTGTCATTATAGGAACACTACTAAAGCACAAGCAACCAGCTAGACTCTGCCATCTGTCTGTTTCATGGCTAGCCTTCCCCAAGTTACTGCCTCACCCTCTGCGGATAGTGGCTTTGGCCCTGTCCTCATAATACATTAATTTCCTACTGTCCAAAGTACAACTAGACTAACACAGTCTAATGAGGCTTCCTTCTTTCTTTCTTTCTTTCTTCCTTCCTTTCTTTCCTTCTTTCTTTCTCTCTTTCTTTCTTTCTTTCTTTTCTTTTCTTTCTTTCTTTTTTAGAACCTTTCTCCTCCAATTTATCAGGTCATCAATCAGAAGTTCTAAGGTTTTTCTGGTAAAAAAAAAAATTGCAAGTGTTTTTTTTTTTCAACTTCCACAGTGGTTTTCATGTGGAGCCTTGCAAGTCATATGACATGGTCCACATCAAACTTGAAAGGGGCCTGCTCAGTGCTGAACTCCTGGGTTCATGAAATCCTTGAAAGGACTCCTGAAGCAGTCCCTTGCTTGCTTCTTTCCTGACTAGGTAGAAAAGAACAGGAGAATCATTTTGAACACATATACACAGCAGGTATGTGACTGAAAATCTCTCAAAATCTATGTGCAAATTGAAACTGTCTGAGCAAGGCACAGCCATGAGTCCATCTCCCAGATCATATCAAGGCTGCGTTTCTCTTGCTGACTAATGTTGAGTCTGACCCCAGGGATAGAAACCCAGTAAGAATGGCAGCAACAGGCACTATGGCACAGTTTGGTCTGTCAGACTCAGTGCAGGGGTGAGACAGAGGTGGGTCTCAAGTAAGAGCTGCCAAAGGTCCCTCTTCTAGGGGACCTCAAAGTCAAGCGCTTGCTTTTGTCTATGTCACCTTTCTGCCCTCATATGAACTCAGTGTAGCCTCCCAGAGAAGGAGCCAATCTGGCTATGTGGGAGGCACACTGGTTCAGAGAGTAGCCCTGAGTAACCCCAGTAGGCAGCCTGTAGCTCAGAAGCGCCTGCCAGGTGTACAGGTAAACTTGCTGGGCCCTATAGGAAAGAAGCCCTCTGTGTCTAGAAAAGCAGGGGACACCTGGAGTGGAAAGGGAGAATTCAGATTGCTAGCCCCAGTGAGTACACCTTACTCCCAGAGCTCTGAGCTCCATCACTCCCCTCTGGGACTCACACTGCCCGGGTCATATTAGGAGACTCCCCTATATCCCACTGTCTCTTTGGACCCAGTCTGGAGACACCTACCCACTATGCCTTGGACTTCAGACCTAGCTCCTGTGGGTTTGTCTACTCTGCCATGGCTGCTTCCCAGGCCTAGGAGGATAACTGCCCTGGCAGATTGGCCTTGCTAGGACCCAGAAGGCTCTGAAGTAAATTCTCTCCATCCTAAAGAGAAGCACCACCACAGTGGACTAAGCTTCTTGGGTTTGTCCTGGATAGGCAGATGTGCTCTAGGTGGGGTCAGTTTTCTACTTAAGATGCTCCCTGCAGTCCCAGTCCTACTGAGGCTGACTAAGGCTGGAGCCAATGCTGGGGCAATGTAATTTTCTACTCCGCATTTGTCCTGAAGCTTGCTGTTCCTTAAAACCCACAGTTAGAGTCATACAAGGCATTTCTCTTGTCCCTTACAAGCCGGCAAATGAGCTCTTTTGCCCTTGTTTTCTCTCTTGGAAGCACAAACATCCACAGTCAGACACACTCCCGGACTAGTGTGTGAGCTCCTGCGATCCCGGAAAGGAGCACCCTGGAATCATACGCACGTTTGGACACGTGCACATCGCGTCCCCACACCGACAGCAAGCTACACACACACACACACACACACACACACACACACACACACACACACCTGTGCATACGCGTACACATGGAAGACTCACAGGGCGGTAGACACAGAAGATCCAGGACACCAGTCCTTGCAATACCTCCAACCACGTAGCTGCCAACCCGAAGCCCTCCCTGCAATAGCTGGTCTCCTACGCATTGGCCCCAGGGCATCCCACAAGCAGAGCACTGGGCACTCCCCGGGCTCGCGCCTGGCTCAAGTTTCTCAGGGCGCCTGTACCTTGGATATGCTGTTTGATGACATTCTCCAAGTGGTCCAGCCGCTCGATAATTTTCAGGGTGTCCCCTTTATCTTCTTCCAGCTTCTTGTCGGGCGCCGGCTCCTGCCCCCGCACATACACGCTGGCGATGTAGTTGGTGACCCAGCCCACGTACAGCAGGCATATGATGTTGGTCATGCCGCTTAGGATCACGCAAGTGGACACCAAAGTTTTGGTCTTCCTGGTACACACCATTCTGGGGTCCTTCCTCCATATAGAGCTCCCGGGGCCCCTCCTCGCTGTGCACCCCTAACTCCCCCGCGCTCAACCTCCTTGGCACGTCTGGGGCTTCTGGGTGCGCCAGCACCTAAGTCTCTCCAAAGGCGGGTCCCCTGACAGTGTGAGCCGCGGCGCACAACTTTGCAGCTCCCGCCGCTGGCCACCCTGAGAAAGAGCTCCACAAAGGAAACGAGGTGGGTCTAGATTTTTTGTTTTGGGGTTTTCCCCCCAAATTCAAAATTCCCCAGCCTTTCCCTAGGCGATCACGGATGGCCGTCAGTGGAGTGACGAGACCTGCAGGGCTGGGAAACTTTGTCACTGCCAGGGCCCGGCCGCGTTGCTTCCCATCTCCAGTGCTGGCTGCCTGGGAGATGCCACCAGCCCGCTCCGCTCGCCGCTCAGGAGAACCGCGGCTGTGGCTGCGACCAGAGGAGCGAAGCAGCGCGGCCCGGCCCCCTCCGAGCGACAAGCGTCGCCACCAATCGCGCTCTGGCTCTGGAAAGGGGTCGGGGCTGGGCGGCTGCGGACCAACGAGGAGGGGCCAGGGGCGGAGCTCCGCCCTGCGCCCCACCTGCTGGCCGCAGGCTCCGGTCCCGACACAGTAGAGTCTCCCGCGCCCTCGGGCCACCCCAGCCCGGCGCCTGCAGATCACGAACCTCCAGTCCCTGGCCAGGCCGGCAGATTCCACCTCTAGGGTAATTCCGGCATACGCTCGCGCTAAGAAGCCCAAGCTTCTGGGACCACGATGCTCCTGTACCCTCACCTTTCCCAACTGAGGGGATTCTTCTGCTTTTCCACCTGAAAACGGACTCCTCGCCCCCATCCCCTTTTGATGAGACCATACAAGTGGCTAGGCCTTACAGTGTCCACTCCTTATACTTCTCTTGAGCCTTCTTCACCCTGCCCCCTGCCCTCTGTTGGTCTCTGGGGTGTCACCAAATGCCTTGAGCACAACTCTGGGCTAAGATAAAATCCTGGGTTCAGCAGATGGAGCACTGCAAGTTCAGCACTCAAAAGATCTTCCTAAATGGCCACCAGATTAAACCTAGAGGAGACAAGGCCTGTTTCTCATGTTCTTGTTGGTAAAAACTTCAAGACAAAGAAGTTGGGGGAGGAGGGTCAGGAAAGAAACAATGTGGAATGTACCAGCTTTTGTACCAGCTGTTCCTCCAAGATAAAGTGTATCTACAGAGAGTGTGAAAACACACACACACACACACACAGAGAGAGAGAGAGAGAGAGAGAGAGAGAGAGAGAGAGAGAGAGAGAGAGAGAGAGAGCGAGCAGAATGGACTCTGGCCTCTAAAAAGCCACCAGGACTGAGTTGCCAGTGACCACTGAGCTCCTGGCTTTAATGTTCTAGTATGTGTTAGTTACATGATCTTGAGCAAGGGTCAGAACACCAGCAGAGCCATTCTCCCGTCTATCAAACATAGGGCTTAGGACCGGACACACAGTGGGTGTCCAGGCTCCTGTGGGTATCCTTCCAGCATGTGGTTCCTTCCCTACCAGGTCCAAGAACACCACCATGCTGTTCAGCAAACTTTGATTTTTCCACTGACCACTATCAGTTCTTCTCCCCTACTGGAAGCTACAGGATCTAAGGCTGTGGGCAGCAAGGAAGGGGTTTGTCCTTCAGCTAGCTAGGTTCCACCTCATTGGCTTTCTACTTGAATATCTGTCTTCACCATCAGCAGTTCAGACATACAGGTTGATAGGACTTTCCAGAAGGAAAGCTGGTCTCCTACAAGGCTTGGTTGCCCCAAGTACCCTCAGACTCCAACCCAAGACCCTAAAACCTTGGTTAGAAACAGGGGACATGGAAGGGGTTTGTGTAGACATCACTGTGGTGACCCTCTGCAGACTCACAGGGTGAAAGGGCTCAGTATCTTTGCAAGATCCCTTTATAAGCAGTTCTTGAACAGAGATTCTTATCTTTGGCCCTCAATTCAATTGTATTCAGCCCGACAGGAACTCACCAAGTTCCTGACATTTTGTCTAAATGACCAGTTGTCTGGGACACTTGCCCAGTTTGCTCCAGACCTATGGCTTCAATGTAGGTTTCAGTCTCAACAGAGGCCTCTTTTCTGAGCTTGGAGAGCTGTTCTACCCAAGGAGGTTTGTGACTTTCCACTTATGTCACTCATCTAACCCCCAAGTGTCTTCTCACTTTGCTGTTTAATGAATCCTGCCTGGAGCGTCTCTATCAGGCCCCTTGATGCTCATCAGAACCAAAACTTTCCTCAGATAGTCAGTGTGAGCAGCCAAGTGGTCCTTGAAAATAATTCTGAGAATCCCAAGCTAGTGTCTCCTTCCACTCCTACCACTAGAGGTGACAGCACACATGAGGCTGGAGGTCCTGGTGGCTTTGTTGTGTATAGGCTGAATGTCACCAGTGTGGTATAATGGGGAAGCTGCTGGCCCCCTGATGTGACTTGAGGGCAGTCTTGGGGGAGGTTGTTATTTTGTTTTCTGAGACACACACAAAAAAAGAGTCTCACTATGTAGCTCTGACTAACCTAGAACTCTCTATGTAAACAAGGAAACAAGGCTGTTCTTGATTCCATAAAGGTCCACCTGCCTCTGCCTCTGTACTGGGACTAAAGACACATCCTGCTATGACTCACCTTTTATAGAACTTCTTATCCACATGTCCAGACACACAACTATGCCACTAATGCTAAGCTTTCTTCGAGGTGTCTTTGGTGTCACCATTAGGAAAAGTCAATCTTGGAGTCTGGCCATCAATTCCTTACATTCTGGGCAGGAATAGAGTCCTCAGAGAGGACTGATAGTGACCACATGTGCCCACCAGATGGCAGCACTGTGTAAAGCCATGGGGCCAGAGGTGCAGCGAGAACTTGGGGGCTTAACAGGAAAAACAAACCCTGATGGTGGAAGGCCTCAGCCTTCGGCTGGCTCTATGGGAAGTAGGGTGGCAGGTACTCAAGGGAATGGAGACTGTTGGGTTGCAAAGCAAAAGTGAATAATCCATTCAGAAACAAAAGCTACAGAGGCCCAAGATTTGATGCTATGAAGCCACAGTCCAAAAATGTGATTGACAGAAAAAGTATCCTGCTGAGAAAGGTTTATTTGGTGCCTCCTGTATGCCAAGGCTAAGATTTGGACTAGGGAGCCAATCAGATGCTGTCATTTACTAGCTGTGGGGTCTTGGGCAAGTTAACTAACTACTTGGTGTCTCGAGTCCTTCCATCTGCAAATGGGATAATAGTGAATTAGTTACCATGGAGATGAGACTGTAATATATAGGAAGGGCACTGATGCCATTATCCAGCTATTGACTGTTACTACTCTCTCTGAGGATCCAAATGTCTGAAAGATCAATGAGAGGAAAAATGACAATCTCTAGAGGCAGCTTTCCTCTGAGAGCAAAAGGTCCAGAAATTACATGAAAAGGACCCTCTGTTCCCTCCACCATCACCTTCCTAACAGAGCTGGAGTAACTAAACTCCTAGCTGTACTCCAGGGCAGATTCTGCAGGAACCCAGCAACTAGGTCCATCTGCCCCACATCTGTCCCCTTAGTGATCCACTTCAGGTCATGTGACAGTACTCTCTGTGAAAATCAACGTTGGGTACTCAGAGAGACTCATTGACTACATTCCCTTAGTGGAGTGGGGCAGCCGGGAAGCAGCTGCTGTACAGAAGGATGGGCTCCTAGCTGGTGTCTTAGTATGAAAGAGAGAGATGCAAGTGGATGATGGAGACACGAACTGCATCCGGATTCTGTCACTTCACCACCAGACAGCTCTGCTGGACAGGCTCCTCCTCCCTGAAGTAAATGCAAGCTCTTAGAACAAAGAAGAACTATCCAGAATATATGAAGAACGCATATAAACCAATACAACAGAGGGTAAAACTGTCCAAATGGGAAAAAATGGACGAAGAACATGAGCAAACAGTGAAAGAGAAAACGCCACCAGCCAAGAAACAAATGAAAAGATGATTAAGTTTGCTAAGAATTAGAAACATTTTTCTAGATACAGCCGCCATAGTTCCCCTATTAGATTGAATTAAATGTGTAATATTTTAAGTATTAACAAGAGCTTGTGGGAAATAAGTACTCGTATAGTCCACTGAGCCTGCAACAGAACATCTAATGGGAACATATTGTGGACAATGCTCATGACCCTTTGACCTTGCACTCAGAGTATGATCCATGGACCTCTCACAACAGTAACAAGCAATGCAGAATGTTAGCTCCATCTCACATTTATTCAGTCAGAGTCTGCATGTAAATGCTGCCTCCAGATGATTCAGATACATCCTCCGAGAAGCCGAACACAAGAGATGGAATCCCTGGTTATCTTGGAGAAGGGTCTCTGGATCTGTTGATGAAGGCTTGAAATCCCAGCTCCTTGAAAGACTGAAGCAGACAGACCCAAGGCTTGCCTGGGCTACAGAATAAGTTTAGGGTCAGCCTGGACCCTGGTGGGAAGTGAGGCTAGTGTTGGAAGATGTAACTAAGTAGTAGAGATGTCTACCAAGATCTTCAGTTGAAACCCAACACTAAACTTATCCAGTACATCTGTCTATTCACCTCTGTGTGTGTGTGTGTGTGTGTGTGTGTGTGTATGAGAGAGAGAGAGAGAGAGAGAGAGAGAGAGAGAGAGAGAGAGAGAGAGAGGAAGAGGGAGAGGGAGAGAGGTACCCTTGGGAACCAGAACAGGGAGTAAGATCCCCTGGAGCTTGACGTATAAGGGTTGTGAGCTGTCTGACATCTGTGCTGGAAACTGAACTAAAGTCTTCTGCAAGAGTACCAAGTGGTCTTAGCCGCTGAGCCATCTCTCCAGCCCACACATGAGAACAGTCATACAGTAATGTTTATCAATGCGGTATCTTCACAGTGTGTGTGTACATGAATGCCACAGTCCTGGCTTTGAATTCTGCTCCTGTCATGCACTAGCTCAGGGGATGTTTGTGGGTAATTTATGTCTCGTATCCCTACTCCCTCACCTGGAAGGTGTCATATTCACTCTCGGGATTGTTTTCAGGGTGATGTAAAGAAAAATGTGTAAGACTTGGCACTCAGCTGTGCTAAGGATTCAACACATTAATTCAGATCGTGCTCAGCATTTTTTACTTAATAATAAATGATAATTCACTCTCATTCCATAATTATACATATTATATAACATATGCATGAAACCCAGGAACTAAATGTATACTTTTAAATGTTTTATTATGTAAAAGGATGCATAGACCATTTCCTGTGCTGTTTCTATAAGTAAAAATGAGTCGGGTTGGTCTACAAGGTCTGGCTGTGCCTCATTAGGCCACCCAGACCTGCAGGCAGGAAAGCTGGCAAGGTCCTGACCACATGGGTCTTCTCTTGACCTTCATGGCAACTTCATAAGGTAAGCTATCCCTCTCACTTTATGGCTAGGAGGA